GTGTACTTTTCACACGTTGCAAAATCAGAATGAATAGATATTTTGGTATGTCCTTTCGTCGCGCACGCCTTCCGGGCGTCTCCATTAGGTGAGGAAGTGACTCGGAGTGACAACATGAGTTGAACTTTGGTGAAGACAAAGTCAAATTCTCAGGGTGGGGTTGCGATGCCTCAACATTGTCATTATTTATAATTCAGGCTGGATGGAGAGGATTCGCAAACATTCCATCTTGCCTTATGCCTTTCTGAATATTCACTCGTGAAATCTTCTAGACATCTCCAGGGAGTCTCTCTTGCATTTCTGTCTTGCAGCATTATTGCTTCACTGCAATTTGTAATAATATTCGAACCACGGCGGAATAACACTGAATAAGACAAGAGTAAAATAGAAATTTTCAACAGAGATGCAATGACTGAACACACTTCAAGCTCTAGATGATAATGATTGCTTGTGCTGATCCTATTTGACGTCAATTCTTCAGAGCTTTAGAAAATAGCATGACCTTTTTTTTAAATCGGTATAAGCTTTGAAATATCTCCAAAATGCAGAATAAAATTCAAATGTAAAAATTTAAACACGAACACTTTTAGTTAAGAAAAATGTATTTAGAATACCAAATCTGGATTTTCAACTTATTCAACTGTTTGCTCCGTATCTCGATGTGAGAGTAGAGGCATTGCCTCTTCCTAATCTACAAAGGGTGTCTCGTTTCCAACTCAAATGCAATTTCTTCTAGTGACATATTTCTCTGTACTCACTGACACTCTTCTTAAGGAAAAACCCTCAATTTTCCCACCATACCAGAGTGTTTTACATTGAATCCTTCCGCAAAATCCGACTGTGCATCTCTGTTGTGAAATCAATAATTCCGCAAGACAGATGTGCATTTCCTTCCCAGCTCAAGATAAGGGTTCTCTCGAATCCCCTCTTGACTTAATGAAAATCCTAGAGGAAAATTAATGGTGCGAGTGAATCACTCATAAGCGAATTGCGATGACCCTCTTGATCTCATTGTTAATTAATTTGGTCAAGGAATTTGTCTCGTTCTCTCAAACGCTATAAATCTTCTGGGAAATTGTTTGTTTTGAATTATTGCAAGATTTCTCTGGTCATTCACAGAGACGAGTTTCGTTAGTAATTGAGAATTGATTAATTCAGGAGAAATCCTTGGGAAAATGTCTCTTTCTTGCAGTTTGGAGGTCAGACACGAGGCAATGGGGAGGAAAATCTGTTTCGCCGACAAGAAATGGAGGGAAAAAGTGCCACATAAATAATATATTGACTATCAATGTCCGATTTATGGGCAATATCTTCCTCAGTCTTGCTAAATTTCATCGACATTCTCAAAAACTATGCGAGGAAATTGGATTTCCTCCCACCCTGGAAGAGTCGTAGCAAATATTGACAATAATTCTAAGAAAAGACTTAATCATTGAGAAAAAATCACCGTGAAATATGCTAATTTTCTTCCTCGCCGGCAAATCAGACCTCATTTCACTTTTTGTGACTCATAGTCAACAAAGTCCAAAGATCATGTTTGCGCTGTTACCATTGCAATTACTGAAGAGGAAACACATCAGAAACATCCTTTGATGTTGATACGAAGAGACGAAAGTCCACCGGAAGTTGGAGTTCTTCCCCCTCTTTTTTGGAAAATTACATAGTCAGACGTCTTGTGACCAAAAAAGCTCTTCTCACGCGACTCGGAGAGAGTTCTTCTGCTCTGGAGTGCGATTGAAGTAATGTTTAAACGGTATGTTGACAATTATTTCAGGCATATAACTGATGTTTTTGGTCGTTGTCTCCGAGCCATAAAATCTCATTTAGTGCTTTGGAGTCACCCGCCCTTCTTGGTGACCAGAATCGCGTGCAGATGAGTCAAAGAACCAGTCACCTTTCTGCAATTCATGCCATTTTGGTGTCTCTTCCGCCGAGACGGACACGTTTGACCCAAAAATATTTCTTTACATCAGTTGTTTTTTTTTCAAATACAGACGGAAAACTGGCAAAAAGTTAGAAAGAAAATTCTACCGCGATTTTCAAATCTCATCTCATTTGCTGGAAAACTCTGTCCAATTTCAATTTCATTGTCCGATATGACAATACAACTTCATCATAATATTCAATTCTCCCCTCAATTCTTCAGCTGTAATTCGCTTGAATAAATGCATTAGTGGGAAAATCGATTCTTTTCCAGCGAAACATGAGGGCCACAATGTATGCATTGAATTAATTAATACGAATATGAAATGAGGCGTTACGTTTTTTGATCACTCACAAAATGGCCATTATTAATCGATTAAGAATCAATTTATGGAGACAAATTAATCAAATTGCAAACTGGGATGGGAATCTCACCTTAGCCTGAAAGGTGATGCCATGGTCGAATGCCTGGTCGGCGTAGAGTGGCACCCTTGTGTCGAGATCGTCACTGACGAGATCGTATGGCGTGGATGGCATCTTGTGGCTCTGCTGGAACACGGATTTGCAGTATCAGGAGATGAGGGGCATCCTTCGGTTCTCCGCACACCTCAGGCGGAATCTCACGGACTTTGTGAGTGTCTGCTGAAGAAGGAGTCCCTGTTGCGCCTCCCACTGATTCTCCACACTCATTAAATCCACTTTTGGTGGTCACTCGCACTATTCAAAGCACACTCGGTACCTTAGAAAGCTGTTTCAGGGCAAAAGACTCGAGAATTAGAACATTTCCAAGGACCACACGAGGACTTGCAGTAGGACATTCTCTGATAAGTCCTTGGAAGTGTCAGAAAACCGCGTTTTTTGACAAATTTTCACAGCGAATCGAGAACAGACGCGAGTCAGTTTGGAATCCCAGTGAAGATGGGACTTGGCCGGCTAAAAATAGCCATCAAATGGCAAAATTATACATAAAGAGTTGTGCGTCTTGTGAATATTGTGGCGCAGCGATGCTTTTTTACTCTCTCCACTCGCGTCTTTTTTATTTAAATAGGCCACCAGAGTCATGTTTATTTTAAAATCATCAATCTCTCCCGCCTTGGACGGCTGTGAAAATTTTTCTAGGAAAATTCCCGGCCCTTTTGCCCTCCATGTGAAATTTTCTATTTTCCAAACGCACCGGATTCACAACTCTTCGATCACTGTTCGCGACACCTCAACCACGTGCCCCAGAGGAAACTCCTGTTGGCTAATCCTGACGGAAGTACGAGGGAAATCGGGATGTTAGGGACGTGCGAGAGCACGATCCGACCTGCACAACGGACACTTTGTGACTGAACGCCGAGCCGTTGGAACGCTGTGCGCGCAAACAAAAAGCGGAAGCAACGTGCTTTTGCGAGACAGACGCATGTGCTGTGGCCGGGAGTGGAACAGAGATGGTCAGACGCCACAGCTGGAGTGCATGCATACTGCTTTTCAGTCCGCGAGACACGCTTGATGGGTTAAAGAAGGAGAATGCCGGAGGTGGACAGTGAATCAGCGGCAACACCCTATGCGAGATGTTGGAAACGACGAGGGGTCTACCAAAAAGTGCTTAAGGACAGGGAACTGAAAATGTGGGCTAATTGTCTTTTATTCACACGACAAATTCAGTGATTTAGCACTAGATCAAGCTAGTTAAGCTAAAAACAGGAAAATTCAATTATTGCCTTGATTATTGCTAAATTAGGCGTTAGAGGGAAGTTACAGCAGTAATTTCTTGAGATGCATAATTCTTTGTTGACCCATTTCTTGCCCATTTTGGAAAGCTTATTCAATTCTCCGACTTCTTAGAATACATCACGATCACAGGAATTATGCAGTTGACTTTGATACAGGAACTAAACTCTCGCCACTAACTCATGAATCATTTCCCTAAAAATCATATTTATCGTTTTCCACGCTCTTTTTACATGACATTTCACTTGAAAATCACTCCCTATCTTTGGCTAGGCGATGGAAAATAATAAACTCCCGTCACGTCTCTATTATTCACATTATTCATAATCATATTGACTCGGCGAGTGATAGAGCATGACGTTGGAGGCGAAAAGCAGTGGAAAAAGTGGCAAAACATGATCTAAAATGCCATGAAAAATTGTATATCTGTGGCTTTTGGAGTCAGCAAACAGGCCACGAGTATGTTTGCGTTTTCTGCAGAAAAATCGCCAAGAAATTGAGCGCTCGCAATGGACTTTTTGGCCACTGGAATGCCATTCAGCGAAAAAAGAGCCAATGCGAGAGTCAATTGCATTGAGAGCTTCTATCCGGACCCAGAGACATAATTTGCCACTTGTTGGGAGGGCGAATCGATTGAATTGCGATCTGAGGGTTGGTCATCCGTTTCCACGATGGTCCATTTCAATTTCCCCAAGAGAACCTCAAGACCATCACACGTTCATCGGGTGGAAATTTATTGAATGGATTTTCAATTTTCCCAATGACTTTCCCAACTTCGTGCTGCGACCCAGACAAAGAGATTCAACATCAGGCGCGCTGCACTTCCTTATCGCGAGTAGAGTCACACTAACGGGAGAGTCTAGGAAAGGCTGTGCTCCACGTGCCTGGCCAAATAAGTTCAATGCCTTTCGCGCAATCACCATAATTGCGCACTCACGGAAAATTCTTGGGCCCTGTTTCTGGGATGCTGAGACCGAGATGACAATGATGGGGCTCGTAATTGGGCAGATTGATCGCCAGAAATTGTCCGCGGTCTCACGGGCACACCTGTCGATCCGGTTTTCCTCAAAATGCACCTCAGCATCGTGCAATCACAACCAATTGCATTAGACCACAATCGAGGTGAGCACAACCGAGGGGCCAATAAACCCGTCGCTTGTCTTCCAGTTACCTAAATAGCGTGTTTCGATAGGAAGAGAAGACGTGTTATGGATGGAAATGCTCTTTAGGGAAGAACGTCCCAAAGAAGACACAAAATACAGAGTGCAGAAATTGAAGTGTGTTCTAAATAACACTTGAATATCTTTTATGCACATTCAACGAGAATCTTTTAGTTTTTTTAAATGAGACTTTGAAATACACTTTTCTAACAATATATCATTTATTAGATCTATTACTCAGTTGGTAAAAAATCTTTAGTTTCTTCATAATCTATATCTAAATATACCTCTTTTTTATTTCCATAATGTTTTTTTTTATCTACAGAAAGGGTAAAGTGTGAAAAGAATAGAGAACGAAACTTTCTTCACCTCGTCAGGGAAGTCAAAGGTAAGATTTAAATGAATTTTACTTTGAAACTAGGACGTACTTTTGATAAATTCAATTATTGCAAAAAATAAGAAAAACCTGTTGTACCTTGAACATTTTCCGGATTCACGGCGAGAAGCGTTTCTTGGCCCATCGTGAGTTTTTTATCTTCTTCTGCCCTGGCACCGCTGCCGGTGGTAATTTGTTGGAGCTCAGCAATTTCTCAAATTGCCACATGAGTTCCTCGTACTTCTTGTGCTTGAAGTCAGTGAAGATGTATCTGAAAAATGATTGGAAAAACTCAGTTTAAGTGTTCATTGCTGTTTGCAGCGCAGAAACTCACCTGAAGTGAACGATGATGCGGTTTCGAATGGGCGCAGGCACGTTCTCGAGCTGCTGATGGTGCCTCAGCACCGCCAAATCCGACTCTAGAGCCTTCAGATGATGTTTACCATCGCGTAATCCTACTTGACCCATCAGGATCATATTCAGCATCGTCCGGGCTTTGTAAATATACTTCGGACTACAATTCATATCACGCACTTGAGTGAATAACTCCCTGGCATTCCCAATATAACACTTGAGCATCTGCATCTTCTTCACCAAGATGTTGATCAACTTCTGCCGATTGTGAGGCAGGAATTCTCCTTCAGATTGGGGGATTCGCTTTTCCAGCTTTGCCTTCTCTTTCGACAGCTTATCCAGATAGTGAAACAGTCTCTGCCTAAATGACTTCAAGTTGGCTTTCTCGCCACGGAGTCGCAAAATGTTCCCTTGATCAGACGAACGAAGATTTACCTCCACAAAGAGTTCATCAGCCAGATTCTTAAGGAACTCCTGACCGCAAGGCATTATCAGGTGATTTGAGAAGTCACGGTGGAGATGAATCTGACTCTCTGCTTTGTCCACAGGGATTTTGGGTGTCTCTTCTGGTTCAGGCTCTACTTCCTTTGTCTCTTCAACTGCACTACTCTCTTCTTCCTTGTCGAATTGCTTGAGGAATCGACCGTACCACGGTGAATTCTTCACTCTGTCATTCCACTGAAACTTCACATTCTCTCCCCTGTGCATTTTAAAAGGATCTGGAGGGTTTCTAGCCACCTGGCTGCTCTCATAGGTACCCTGATATGAAGCAATCCTTGTCGGCGTTACGGGATACTCAAGAATTCTCACTGGACTACTGCACTGATCGAATGTGTGACCTTTCCGGGCGCACATTGAGCAATATTTTCTCTCATTGTTGGCCACCTCGGTATTCAATGGCATCGTATTGTCCATAGTCGAGTGGTAGCGCCTCCACAGATCGGGACAGAGTTCCTTCTTATGCCCTTGCGTGCCACACTCACTGCACAAGCTGCTTGCCCAGTTCGCACACCGGGAACACGATGTTCCGAATACCATCGTCCGGTTGCCGCACTTGAGGCACAGCGTGTTGGGACAACGTGGCTCTCGATGGCCTTTCTCACCACACATAAAGCAGACAAGCTTGGGAATTTGAGGCTCTCGCCACGTCCTGTGAAAGCGGCTGAAGTTGAGATCTTTAGCGCTGATCTGCCATTGATTACCGAGTGGCATCTTCTCCATAATCTTCTTCACTGAGAACTCTTCTCCCCACGATTCATTATAGAAATGCCTCATCTCTTCATTCCAGCCGTGAGACAGAGTTGAATGCTCTTCACCTTCCTCTATGGCTTCACATTCTGCTTCTGAGTCAGCTTCTGGCAGTTCAGACACAAGCGGAAGTTCATCTTCAGACACACCCAATGGAGACGCTTCCCTCGACACGATATTCAGCACAATGTCTCTGGCCTCCTCGTCAGGACTGTCGTGAACAATTTCCACGGGCTCATGGTCAGAATTGGAGGCATTCTGGGAGTTGGAAGTCTCCCCATTGGCTATTGAATTGAGAATCGTCATGAACTCTTCGTCGGAACGATGAGAACTTATGGCAGTATCGATGCTCCTTCTCTTAGGTACAGTGACAGCATTAGGGAGGGCTTCGCCTCTCAGAATGTAAGGAATTTCCTTGGGTGATGGCGGAAGACGCTTCCGCTTTTGAAAGAATCGCTTAGGGGACGCATCGCCGTCCGGCAAGAAGTCTTCAGAGTCTGATGTTGAGATGTCAGATAGAGGAGCCTTTTGAGCCCCAGTTTGGGTAGTTTCCTCAATTCTTAAGCGCTTATGTGGACTACTGGGCGGCTTGGATTGCTGTTGAACAGTGCGCAACTCTTCATCCGCCACATGAATCGTGTCCATGGGCTCAATAAGACGTCGACGATCCTTTACAGCGATGAAATCGTCAGAGAGAATGGAGCTGGAAGGGCTGGATCCGCGTGGGATGATTCTGGGGTTCTTCTTCGGCACTTCCGACTCGTCTGAGCTGTCGAGATCAATGAGAGGTGGCGGAGGCACTGGAATCTCCACCACGTCATCATCCTTCTCCTCCTCACTCGAGTCCAAGACGATTGTCTCACAGGATTGCTTCTTCCCCTTCCGGCGGTTCTTTTTCTTGCTCTTAGGTATCTCTGGGACATTTTCCCGTACAACTTCTTCGGGTTTCCGGAACATCTTGGCGGGATTCTTTCTCATATTCGGATTCTTTTGTATCTGAGCCGGAGGTAATACTTTAATGCCCTCCAGGAAAGATTTATATGGTGTGAACTTAGGTGCACTCTTACTACCCTCTAGCACGGGTTGTTTGTCAAGCCCAAGAATGGGGGCGCTCTTCTTGCCGACCTTCTTCACCCATTGCTTTCCGGCAACGGCTCCTGAGAAATACCGCCCACCCTTCGCCTTCTGCCCGGGCGCAGTCACCGTCTTCTGAGCTTCCACTCTCACCTCACTATCTACCTGTCCATGGTGGATCTTCGAGTACAGATGCTCTTCCAGTTCAGCCGAAAACTCCTCCAAAGCATTTCCTTCATCCTGAAGAGCAAAGATTCGCTGTATTGTCCATATCCGCTTTATTTGTCAGTGTTCTTACCTCATCCATGGCATAGATCAGTCTTGATATGTTCAGGGCACACACTCTGCAATTGCATTAGCAATTTTCCGATGGTTTCCCGTAGAAAAACGCAACTTTGTGAATGATGAGGAAATTCGGGGAACAAAAATACAGAAACCATGAAACCACGTGTGACAGTCATCATGCCAGTAAAACGTCATGAATTGCTTGCAAGGAACTTTATTTAAATAAATTTAACGATCGTAAGAAGAAGTTATAATTTTGATTTTCACAAGGAAATCTCATTTCTAAATTTAGAAATGGTACTACAATTATCATTAATATACCTAATTTTGAGAGAAAAAATTAATAAAAATTGGTATGAGGTTCCACTGAATTCGATTTTGGCTACGAAGGGTCCATCAGAAGCATAGGAATAAAACATAAATAAAACTCAATCAAAACACGAATAAAACTCAAAATAAATATAGATGAAACATAAAAGAAACACATACGAACTGCCATACTGTACCAAGAGCGGCTGAAAATCCTCATGGAAACTTTATTTTTCGAGAAAATCGCGCTTATAATGTCTGATCAGCTGATTTATCATTCATTTACCCCCATTTTTTTTTCCAGAACTGAATCCGTCAATAACAGAGGAGTCATAAATAATAAAAAAAATAATTCAGCACAATTTTTAATATGTTTAAGGGGTAAATTTACGATCGTTTATGTGTCTTCGGAGGCTTCCAGCACAGCGCCAGAGTACGCCAAATCCCAGTACTGTTCGACTAAGTACTTCTGAAAGAACTCCCTGGCCATCTTCTCCATGGGGAAGCTCTTGAACTTTATCTCGCCAAAGTGGCGTCGCTGGCTCGTGCCTTCCCACACGAGTGCGCACGAGTTGGGCACCTCGTTGCCGTCAGCATTCTTTACGTTGTCCTCCTCCCATTTGATGCGACTAAGCATGAGTCGCCGGAACTTCTTCTGCTGCTTCGGCCCACCCTCAATCACCACCACACAGCAGTCACGGAAGAGCACAATCACGCCTGTCATGTGCAGCTGCTTGGCATTCGTCTCTACCTTGAATTTCTTGCTCAGATTGTCGTGCAAATCACGCACACGATAGACAGACACATGAACACCCAGGCTCGTATCCTCCTTGATCTTGCGTATTTTTTTCTCACGCTTTTGTTCAGCCGTCAACTTTCTGGCCGCATTGGCCTCCTCGTGCGCCTTCTGACGCTTCGCCATCTGCTCACGCACGTGCGACTCAATTTTTGTCGGATCCTGCACAGCTTCTGTGCCCAACACACGCATTAAATTCGATATGCGTAGCTTCGGCTCTGGCGGAGCACTCAATCCTAAGCGAATCTTCTCTTGTTCCTCCTTCCACGCCTCACGCCGGTTCTGACGGCGCAACTTCTTCCTCTCCTTCTTCGTGAGAAACACTGGCATGTAAACAGCCTTCATAGGTTCACTCGGCGGCTTGATCTGCGTGGGATGCTCTATAAGATTCGTGATAGCTGACTCCCGGATCGATATTCGGCCATCCTTGAGCGTGTTGAGATCATCACTGAGGATGACCGAGTCCCACCACTCCATTTGTGGGACGTCGTCTGAGTAATTGTCCTGCTTAGGGGCGATCAGAGCGAGTTTTGTGGCCGAACTGATGCCCGTGCGCCGGGCAATTTGACTTATTTCATTCTGCAGTTTCTCCAGTTGCTTCTTCATACGCATCTTTTCGGCCATCTGCTGAAATTTGCCCGGTTCGTGGAAACGCAACGATCTCTTATTTCTCAGTGGGGCCTTTAAATTAATGCGATCATCGAAGAACATCGTCTCCTGACCCTCTTCCGCCTGGCGATCCGTCAACTGTGCCTTGTTGAACACTTCTCTCTTCTTCGCCCGAATATTGGCCTTCAGTGTCGGCGCCAGCGTGGGAATATTAACTTCACGCCCACTCTTGTCCACTGTCCTACCCTCAGAGTCTAAAATCAGTGGTTTCGGTCTCTCACTCACCGGCGTGATGATCTTTGCCAAGGAGCCGGACAGCTTCGCCTTGATCTGAGCCTGCAAATTCGCAATTTTACGTGCTCTCTCGATATCTTCCGGCGTATTTCCCATTGTCGGCAACACCGTTTGCGTCACTTTCGGCTCCGCGTCAGACTTCAATGCTTTCTTCCTCTCCTCAATCTCACGCTGGGCATTTAGCATCATCTGTTTGATGCGATCTGTGGTCAATTTTCCCTCTTCAGCGGCACCCTGATTAGCAGCTTCCGCGCCGTGCATTCTCCCCTTTTTTGTCTCTCTCTCTCGCACATCCTCTTCGTGGTGGCGTTTCCTCCCCTTCTGAGCACTCTGATATTCCACCAGCCAATGCTCTACCTTCTCCAGAAGTCGGCCGGAACTCTTCCCGTCCAGCACACTTGACAGCTTTTCGCTCGTCTTCCGTCGATCGTAGCCACTGTGCAATGATGATTGAAGAATTTGTAGCACACTGGAGCTGGTGCCACCTAGAACATTTGTCACCACTCTCTCCAGATCCGGCTGTACTTCGCTAAGCTCCTTGCGCGACAGATAAGACATTCTGGATGACTTCAACGACTTCAACTAAACGTTTTCCTTCGTTGCGCCTGTGAAAACCCAAACAATGCCTTGTAAAATGTGATTCCATCCGCTCACCGATGACTTTTCATGCTTATATCTCAAAGTATTTTACCTATTGCAGTTTTATCACTGCTCTGCAATTGTCAATTCAGTATTTCGCGGCGAAATTTAAGTAAAAGAAATGCACTTTGCAATAAAAAGCATCACGATATTTGGGAACCATGAAACCACATGTGACAGTCATCATGCCAGTAAAACGTCATGAATTGCTTGCAAGGAACTTTATTTAAATAAATTTAACGATCGTAAGAAGAAGTTATAATTTTGATTTTCACAAGGAAATCTCATTTCTAAATTTAGAAATGGTACTACATTTATCATTAATATACCTAATTTTGAGAGAAAAAATTAATAAAAATTGGTATGGGTTTCCATTGATTACGATTTTGGCTCTACAGAACATCCTTAATATAAAGGGTTCATCAAAAGCATATGAATAAAACTTCTGATAATTTTTGAATTTTTTGTAGACACCAAAGGAGAAGGATATGCTAACTTGTATGCAGAATCATTTCCATTATAATTTGGCAATTTTGCAATCAGATATGCACTTTTGCCTTTTGCTAAAGTCGTCATAATCGTTCCGCGATTGAACTTATTTCAAATTCTATGTCGTTGTCGTATTAGTTTGCTGTTGATTCTGTCCTGCTTGAGTAACTTCTGTGGTCACCGAAACCGTGTCAGAGATCTCCTTTTCATGAATCGCCATCCAAGGAAGTCTTCTCTGCAACTCAAGTCTGTACTTTGGGTGACTGATAGCGTAAACCCAAGGATCAATACAGGCGACGAGTTTGCAACAGCATGCTGGGATCATTGTAACACCTGGCGTGAGTAATCGCCGATCTCCAAAAGCTCCAATAAGCGCCATGACTCCATATGGTGTCCAGGAGGCCACAAAGAGGAAGCAAATCATTATTGCCGCCTTCGCGATCCGGATTTCTGCTGTTTGGTTCGAAGAACTCGCGTTGGATCGAAGAGAGTCAACATTCATCTTCCGTGCTTGCTCTCTGAGAGTCTTTTCGTGATTCACAACATGACTCACGATCTTGCTGTAGAAGTAGATGATCATTGACATGGGAATCATGTAACTGCACACAAAAATCGCACCAACGAACAGGTGATTGTCGAAAGTGTCAGTGAGGTAGTCGAAAGAGCAGGAAGTGAGAAATCCCTCTGAAAATAGAGGAATTCAAGTATTATTCTTTTTGACGAATAAATTCGCTACAAGAGGGAGAATATTGCCCAACTGGCATGAAATTCCCCTCCTTCCACAGACTTTTCTGTGGAAATCATTTGACAATCGATCGTAGCGAAAATTGCCTTCTCGGGTAGAAAAACTGCATTTCCGCGAGAAAAGCGTCCCATTTCACCAGCCAAAGCACTGCAACACTCTCGAGTGTGGTCATTGCAGTGACTTGAGACCCTATCGTGTGGAGAAACCGCCGGGAAAAGGCGGAAATCCAGGTGAAAAGTCTAGTTTACAAGGTGAGTGGGCAAAACAATGGTCAGCTGTCATTTTGTTGAGCCTCCTTTTGGGGCACTTCTGGCCCTTTGCAGAGGGAGTCGCTACTTCGAGATGTCTGGAAAGCTGCCCATCCCAAAGCGTCGGGACGCCCCGAATGCGTCCTCATCCAGCAACTCGAGCCTCTCTTCAGCTGATGGCATGTCCGCAGATCTGGCTAGTCTGTTCGAATGTCCCGTGTGCTTTGACTATGTCCTGCCGCCCATTCTGCAATGCCAGAGTGGCCATCTCGTCTGCAGCAACTGTCGCTCCAAGCTCACTTGCTGCCCCACTTGTCGTGGCTCCCTAGGCAACATCCGGAACTTAGCGATGGAGAAGGTGAGTTTCCGGGCATTCGCACAGGGCAAAATGTCCTATTTGCTTCCAATAGACTGAGACCGTTATCAGCCTTCGGAACTGATCTCTATGAAAGGTGATACGACTATTTTGAGAGGTTATTGATTAGAGATTAGATAAAACCATGACCACCGTAATATTTTGATAAATCGTAGCGGAAAGTGGGGTTTCTTTCGGATGGGGCATTTTTATTCTGTTGGATAAATCTAATGATATTATCTGAATTTTTATGCCTACTCTAGATGTTTCCCTAAGAATAAAAATTATTTCAAGTCCGGCAAACTGAAGATGATTAGGCTCGTGATAGTGCAATGAACTCAATCTGATGCGGGTTCACAAAAGTCCCAGACAGTCTTACATCATTTCCAATTTTGTGCTGATGGATTACAAGTATGCAATTTTTGGCTGAATTCTACAGAGAACAATGGACTGAAGACTTGTATCTGTCGCTATGAATTTTTTGAGCTGTAAATCCCTCGGGTAGGGACAACGCTTGGCCCTTTTCTTCTCTATGCCATAGAAACTGTCTAGTTTTTATCACGATTAACGTGCGAAACTCTTTCATCACAGTGTGCGCATTCTTGCCCTTCCACTCTTCTTTCTGCAGTACACAGCGGAAAAACTCTTCATGCAGTTCAGCTTCCCATTGTTCTAATCTGTGTCCCATTTTTGCTGATTCACAGGTTGCCTCGAACGTGAAGTTTCCCTGCAAACACAGCAGCTATGGCTGCAACGCGTCGCTGATCTACACGGACAAGACGGAGCACGAGGACGCATGCGAGTTCAGACCGTACCTGTGCCCGTGTCCGGGAGCCTCATGCAAGTGGCAAGGCGCCCTAGAGCTCGTGATGCCGCATCTTATGATGTCACACAAGAGCATCACGACGCTACAGGGCGAGGATATTGTTTTCTTGGCCACTGACATTAATCTGCCGGGCGCTGTTGATTGGGTGATGATGCAGTCCTGCTTCAACCAGCACTTCATGCTTGTGCTGGAGAAGCAGGAGAAGTTTGATGGTCACCAGCAGTTCTTTGCCATTGTGCAGCTGATTGGATCGCGCAAGGAGGCGGAGAATTATGCGTATCGCCTCGAACTGAACGGCCACCGGCGCCGGCTCACGTGGGAGGCGATGCCCAGGAGCATTCACGAGGGCGTCGCCTCGGCCATTCTCAATTCTGACTGCCTCGTCTTCGACACGTCCATCGCGCAGCTGTTCGCCGACAACGGTAATCTCGGCATTAATGTCACCATCTCGTGCGTGTAGAAACGCTAGCGCTTCACCATCACACTCTCTCATCACTCCGAGGAGGATTTATCTTTACTTCTTAAATAAAATGACACTAGGGTTAATTGTAAGTGAGCGGATTTGGACTCACCGGGAACGAATCTGCCCCAAATCTCCATGAGAGGGAGAACGGTCCATGGGATTGTGTATCCCCAGACGACGAGAACTATTAGGATGGCTTTCAGGCGGGTCATCTTGGCGTGAAAGGGCCTCGTGATGACATTGTAGCGATCATAGGCGATGCAGGCGTTTGTCATACCAGCGCCGATGCCAGAGAGTGATCCCATGGCTGCGAAGATCTGGCACCCGGTCACACCAGTGGCGAAGCCGCGCTGGAAGGAGTTGTAGATGAAGATTGGCGCCTTGAGCATCATCATGAAGTCACACAGAGCCAAATTGACCACAAAGACGTTGGACGGCGTGCGTAGTGAAGCCGAGGAGCTGAAGATCCACAACACGAGTCCATTTCCAGTGAGCGAGGCGACGGTAAACATGAAGTACACGAGGCCTAGAAGGTAGTGGAGTGAAGCCTCGGGTTCGGGGTAAGTTAACCAATGTTCTGGGATCTGTTTGAGGTCCTTGGTGGCCACATTCCATCCCAGTAACTGGCTAGAATCCGTTGAAATCCTGGCTTCAGGCTTCCAGAGTGAGAAATTTCCCTCCATTTCCGACTTTCACTGACCGAGATTTCCAAAATCTTCCCCATTTTATACTCTAATCAATTAATCCTGCAAATGGAATTAGAAACTTGAGGGGCTGCAATCAAGGGCGCTCGCGATGTCATCAATCCAGAGTTTAATTTTCCAACTCACAGTTACACTTTTGGTTAGTTTTGCACGACACGCAGACACGCCGGAGCCTCTTGGGCTGGAGGGCGGGGAGAAATGCACACACGAAGCTCATGAATTAATTTAGACGTCCAATGAGGAGAGGCCCGCCTCCACATCCTTCGTCTGGGGCGCCTTCTTCTGGCTTTTGCGTCCCTTTGGCGAAGCCTTTGCCGGTGTAGCCTTTGGGGCAGCCTTCTTTTTCACTACCATGTCCTTGTGCAGCGTCTTCAAGGACTCATTCAGCTTCTCTGACTTGTTCTGCAGTGCTTCCTTCTTGCCAGCCTTGCCCTGGAACGGAGAATTACACGGGAATTCCTTTCAATTACTCAAACTTAAGCCTCTTCCTCACCTTCTGAATATTGCTGGCCGCTTTCTTTGCCTTGTTCTTTTTTGTGGCCACTTTGAAGACATTCTTTGCCTTCTTGGTTTTATTCAAAGCCCCTTTCCCGGCAGCCTTGCCCTTCTTCTGACCACCAGCACTGCTTTTCTGCGCCGTGATGAGGCTGTGCCTATTCTTCCTGCCCATTTCTTCTTGAGTCCTGTAAACAAAAGAGCAAAAGACGTGAGTTAATCACCAATAAATGGTTTATTGATCGTTTTGAGAGGTACAAAGGATCTTGGGAAAGGGTTCTTGTTCCTGAGGAGCGTCCAAGGCGCGCTTGAGGCTCTTCTGACAGAAGAGGATGTCATCTGTGAGGTGGAAAGTCACTCTAAACATGTCTTTGTTGGGAGACACGTTTCGCACGAAAGTTGTAGATACAAAATCTGAGATGTTGTGTCCCAGATGGGTTTCAGCAGAGGTTCTAGCATCTTCTGGCGGACCTCCTTTGACGAAGGTGTAAACGTGAAGGAGAGGAAGTGATCTCTCAATGTTCTGCAGTTCTGAATTGTCCGCCAGAAGACCAGAGAAGGCGTCCAAAAATTCAACAGCAAGAGCTGGGAGGTTCATTACAATAGTCAGGGATTGTTTGGTGTCTCCCAGCTTCCAAAACTTCACGAGATGGTCCTTCAAGTCGCTGAGAATAAATTCTCTGCCGTCTTTGTTGGTGATTTTTAGGCTTTTCTCTACTTTATTCCTCTTCGCATTGTGCTGTAGCCATCGAACACTGTCCGGATTGAGGTCATTAGCCAGGACGTGACATTTTTTCCTGCCTGCAGGCACGCTGAAAGGCCCCACGCCAGCGAAGACATCGCATAAGTGGCTCCCGGAAGGTAAACTCTTTACGATTCTCTCATGCTCACTGGACAGACGAGGATTCCAGTATACCTTGCTGAAGTCAAACTCAAAAACAAATCCATTTTCTCTAACCTCGACTTGATATTGTTCCTGGCCAGCGAGAATTTCCATCTGGAAGTTCCTGAACGTTGAGTCAATCGTGTGGATTTTGTTCACAACCGTTTTGCACGTGGGAATTTTATCCAGCAACACCTGGCCAATTAAAGCCCCGAAGGGCAGCAGATGATCCTTAAGATTCACGTGAATAATATGACCAATCTGTGAAAAGGATGAGAAGTTTTCCTGGCCTTCAGGCAAGACTGCTTTAAAAACATCATTGAACTTGAAGTTTTCATAGTTCAATTCAATTTCTCCCCACTGCAGTGATTCTTCGGAAATCTCTGAGTCTTTGAGGAGATCTTCCACGTCCTCCCAAGACTTCACTGTGTCAGGATTTAGCAAAATTGTCTTTTCCTCCTCCCCGAAAACTGCTTTCAACTTTGCAAACTTCAGCACCTTTTCCTTCACTTTGCTTAGTACTCCGGGGAGTTTTCGTGCTTCTACCGTTAGTTTGGGCACTTGAACTTTCCTCTGAAAGACACTCCTGTCCAGCACGGTCATCCCACGCACGTCTGTAGGCAGAAAATTCCTGCCATCCGTCATTCTGCTGAACCGATGTTCTTTCCCCAGATTCCTCAACACTGGGATACTTCTCCTCCACGTTAATCCCCTTAGCATGGACTCCTGCCTACTTAGCAAGAGAGTCTCTGTGGTAATTACCTGTTTCTGGCTGGGAAATGTCCCTTTTCAATGTTGTTTTCTCGCGCTGATAAAAAGCGTGCTCAAAACGTCACTTTTGTTGCCTCGAATTGGCATGCCAGTATACGACGCACGCCAGAAATGCAGAGACGAACTTAGGGGAATGAAACACAGAAGAAACACAAAACACCGGGTTTAATGATTTCAGCATTTTTTATTAGACTCAAAAACAGAAATCTATCATTATAATGACTATATAAACACTCATGGGTTGACCATCTCAATAGACTCTGCTGGATATTTTCCTCTGGGTCGTCACTGGAATCCTTTCTCTTCCAGAGGCTGATACAATATTCGTTAATGGCTAAAATTTCATGAATTTGCACATAAATGCATCTTACAACTCTCCTAAATCATCCGAGCTCGACGTTTTTTCCTGGAGATTCAGGTTCTCTTCCACAGAAAACCACGCGCAATTGCCATAGAAAACAATAAAACTATCACAAAAGGAAAACTCACCATTTTCCCACCTCAATTGCTCCCCACTGACATTGTGGACTTCTTTCCACCGCCTCCAGATTTACGGCTGCCCACTGAACTGCCACAGCCGCCCTCGATGCGCTCCTTCAGGCGATTGATCAGCTGCTCAATCTCCGGAATGGAGTAACGCAGATGCAAGGTGCACTGCCTGGCCACAACTTCGCCATCTCGAATGAACTTGAGGGCATGCTGAAGACAGTAAACAATCTCCTCCTCATCCACTTCTGTCTTCACCATTGAGACAAATAGATTTGCCCGGCAAAGATCGCATTCATTCTCGTCGTCGGCATTCTTCTTTGACTTCGTGGCGAATTTCTGTGTAGCAATTACTCCAGCGTCCTGGAAAGAACATTATCGATTAAAACTATAATGCACGATGTTCTAAAACATTGTGATTTTCTTACCTTCAGCTCTTGTCGCAGCGCCACTTCCTTCTTGTAAACCTCCTGCATGATGGGCAGAATTTGCGCCAATGTGTCCGAATTGCTCCTCTGATCTGATGCAATGGAGAAGACGAGTTGCTCTCTTGAGAACATCGTGGGTTCGCAACTTTCCTGGATGTCCTGAAAATTCATCTCACATAAGCACATTCTCTCCCAGAATTCAATATCTGACCCAAGATACCTTAAAGTCCTGATCTGACGAGTCTAGCCATTTGTGCGTGGCAAAGTAGACACTCTCCGAGATGACATAGCCCGTGGCGATGCTGGAAGTGTATGCTCGCGGAAAGACCACCACGAACTGCCCTGGCTGCTGCTCAGTCCGGCACAAGGACACACCCTTGTCTGTCAACATGTGCGGAGGAACCATTGCCGTGTCGCAGGGCAGCCAGATAGTTTTGTTCTGGCAATGAGTGGGTACCAGCGATGTCAGAGCAGTACGGAAATTGGCACTCTGCTCATCAGGGACGCCATACCTGAAAATACATTGCTTATTACACACGATCTGCTCTTGGGACAATGATAAGCGTTATGAAAAAGATGAATTATTAAAGTTATTCGAGAAAACTGATCATCCTACCAAACTTTAGGAGCTCCAGTGTGCAGATACTCAATCCAGGGCAGTCCATGAGGATCTCTGTACCAGCAACACGCGCTAAAGAGCATCCCCACGTGTAGTGTGGGCACTGTGACTCCCATCACGGGTCCCAAGGAGCGCAGAATCGAGCCACTGTTGTTCGTGAGTACTTTTAAATTCCACGGATGCTTAGCACATGGTGAAGCCTTGGTCTTGGCCAGAGGCGCGGGGAATCCGTATCCCCAACCCGAGGAATCAATAGAGCCTGAATGAACACACACGTGACTGTCACGAACTGCCACATGACGCCAGAATTCTGCCTCCACATCAGCCGGCGAGGGTTCGGTGTTCTTAAACCACAGGGCCATTGTGTTCCTAGCGATTCTAAAGAAGGCATTCAAAGGCATACTTCGTCCCTTCTCTATACACTCCATCGCTCCGTCCGCCTCATCATCACTGTCCTCATCATCTTCATCTTCAGCGTCCTCAGATTCACGCTGATTGGCCGAAACACACCTATAAAGGGAGATTCTATAACATCCCTGATCACACGTGTTATGGAAGAAAACTTACCTGTCGGCATTTCTCCTGGCTTTAGCTTCCCTCTTGGCCCAGTCAGCCTCCACCTCATCAAATAGCTTCTGTCTCTCAGCTGGACTCAGTGTGTCGTAGGGCAGAAGATACTTACAATAAATATCATCCAACTTCGTCACTCTATCCTGCGCTGACTTGGGGATGCACATCTCCTCCGCCACTCTAGCCCACTTCTTCTTCTCAATCACTTCCTTGAGACCGCCCAGCTCCTGCACAGTGTGATACAGTCGCGGGAGATCCACTTCCATCCCTCCTATCCAAGGCGGATGAGTTAGTGTGATGCTTTGTGTGGCCAAATACTTCTTAATAGCGCTCAACTCTTTCGCCGACGGTCCCCAGCGATGCAACATCTTGTGGACATACTGATTGTAGGCAGTGAATCTCATATCATCCGACACTCGACACTCCGGCTTAAAACTCGCCGGCGGGATGATTCTACAAATCCCAAAGCGAGCCGCTATTGGTGTGATGCGATCAAAAAACTCAATGGGATCCTGGAATTCCTTTTCTGTGGGTGAAAAGACAGGCGCCTCCACCATCAGAGCAGCATCCTCAATTCTCGGGAAGCTTGTATTATTGCTAGGACTCACAGACATTGGCACTTCATTAGGCTTCGTCTTGCCCGACTTTTTGCTCTTCTGTGATACGAGGGATGAGTTGGAATTAACCCGCGTGAGGCTCGAATGGCTTGGCGCCCGTGAAGATGAAGCCCCCGATTGCGCAGGAGGAGGATCTCGCTGAGCAGAGGCGCGAGATGTTGTGGGAGTCTCTGCAGCTGAAGACTTGAAGCGTGGCTGAACAGTACCAATTGGCACAGATTTCGAACAAATCTCTTTGTTAGCTAGCAAACTCTTCATAATATCCTGCTGTGCAATGGCCAGTGATTCCGGAATGGGAGTCGGATTTGTGCCTATCTGTGCCTTTGTCACCAGCTTTGCTCGCATAATAACTCTTTGCTTTGATCCATCAATTATTTCAGTGCCCAATTTCACTGCCACAGCCTGAATCATCTGATCCCCTTTACCAACCAAATTTCCAGCTCCCTGCAGTGGAATGTAGAACGTCTGTCCGTCAGAATCTGAGTCATTTCCATCATCCACGGTAGTTATTATCTCATTCGTCGCATTTACCAGTTGAGAATCTACGTCCAGACGAACGGCAATTGAAGCTGACTTATTATTCTCTTCCGGACTGAGAGTCAGGGAAACCTGAGGAGTCTCCTTAAGAGTGGCTGAAGCTACAGGAGACGGCTTTTGGAATGACGTTTCTGTGTCCTTCTTCGTAGATTCTCGACTCCTGTCCAGATTCGAAGCATCATCTGTGCGAGAATTATTAGATTCTCGGCGAGTGTGGCGTCTAAAAGGAGTGGCCACGGGAATTGCATCATCCTCCTTATCAAATGAATAGACAGAGTGTTCATTTTCCGGCGAAAACGCCCCGAAAGTATTGACAACCTGCTTGGTTTTGCTACTTTCCGGGACTTTTGTATTGTAAAGCGGTGTCTTCCGGTTGTATATTGGCTTCCTGTCTGCCGCTTTCGGAGTTTTTGCCGTCTTCGGACTGGCTTTAGTCTTCTCTGTGGCCTTTGGCGGACTCACTGGTCTCTTTAGCGGTGGCGTGGTCACTTTCTTAGTCACCTTCGCCGGCGCACTCTCCTTTTTCTCCTCAATTTTCACCGAGGCGAAATTCAGAGGCTCTTTGGCCGGTTCATCTTTCACTGGTGCCATAACTGGAGTGGCTTTTAAAGTTGGTCCCTTAGTCACTGTCGATTTTCCAGTAGTTGAGGAGCTGCTCCTCTCCTCCTTTGCCTTCATCCTCACTCCCTGACCCGAACTCCCACTCTCGTCTGCCAACTCCCGGAACGGCGACGAAGTTAGCAGGTAAGAAATCGGCTTCGGTGGCGTCATAAAGTCATCATCTGAGAGATCATCGTGAATCTCTTCATGATGAGGTGCCTTGCTGCACTCAATCAGCCACTTCTGGATCTGCTCGTGCGACATATTCACCTGAAAAGACACCACAAAACACTATTATTAGAAAAAAAAAACCATCAGACACACTTTCTCGCGCGTTCCATCCAAAAACGCCCCATCGGCAAGAAGAAGAACAAAATTGAAACAATAAAAGAAAGTGGCAACAGTTTTAATAATACACTTTTATTGACTTGATGATTGTGAACAAAACAAATATAATAAAAAAAAATTATCTTTTCGGTTAAACAAATCATAGAAGAACAAAAAATTAATAAAAGTCATAAAAATTGTGAAATAGTAAATTGGTAACATAACTGTAGTAAATAGATTTTATTCATTCATTCATTTTATTGCTTCTCCCCAGATCGTCATTTTGAATCTCCCACTTTCATGTATCACAATTTTTGGACAAATATTTGCAGAATGGTAAAATTTTAACAATATATGTAAATTTACAAACAAAATAAAACGTTTTAAATAAATTTGGAAATAGAAGAGAAGAGATCCAAATGAGAAAAGGGCCCACTTTAGGATTCCAAATGACAATCACTCATTTGTTACACATGCGATACGCTTCGTGTAATTAAGAAAGTTCGTTATACCCAGAACGACAAGCTAATTTATAGAAGGATGGCCTTCTGCAACTTTTGTTACTAATAAAAGATATTTTCATGAATTTAACATGGGGAAAAATAGAGACAGATTTTAAGCACAAATATTTGAAATGCTTAAACTCACTACAGAAGAAATCAATTTCCCAGTTAAATCATCCAAGAGAAAAAGAAAAAAAATTTGATAATTTGAGGCTTTAGAAACGAGACTCAAATCCCAAGTGTTTGCAAGGTATTTATAGCAAATGAGTAATCGACCCCGGAAACCCAACCCACTCAACGAAAGGCACTTCAGCATGGAACCACCCAGACCTAGGCTAGGAGAATGAGTGTGAAAGCACTACCTTGGATTTGCGTCGTTCGCGGTTTGCGCCGGAGTCCCCAAGAAGCGCCTCCGTGGGCACCGCCGGCCCCAGCGGCGGTTTGTGCACAGAGCCACATTTGCCCAGTGTACACTTGGTGTCCTGCGGTCCGGAGCTTTGCGCTAGACTGACACTCGCGATGCCGAAGATCTTGCCCGACTCCTCCTTGCTCGGCAATGGATTCATCAGACTCGCGATGGCTTGTGGTGAAGTCCTGGAGCCGCCCTGCGACGCGAGACTGGCTGTGATGGCTTTCTTCGGCGGCAGATCCAGTGTCTTCTGAATCAGTTGCACTTCCTGCTTCGGCTTCAACAGCGTCAATGGTTTGATGAAGCTCTGCTCGAGATCCCTAGCCGTTGGCTTGGCCAGTTCAGGTGTCATCGCCAGGGAATCCGCCTTGACTGATGTCGGAGACTTGAATGTTGTGAAGGAGAGATTGAGAATGTCATCTGTAGTGTCGTTCTTGGGGGAAATCTTTGGAATTTCACACTCAGGAATCGGCGAAGGCTGATCCTCGGGGAGCAGAACTACTCTCTGCGGCGAAAAGACTGCCATATCATCCTCTCTGGGCAGTGGAGGAACCTTCTTGGGACTGGAGCGCTTTTTCTTCACAATTTTCACCGCCAATGGCTCTTCATCGGAATCTGAGAAACTTTTCTCCAGTTCTTTCACTATTTTAGGCGGAGGCGCAGACTTTTTCGCCACATTCTTCGACCCTTTAGCTTCAGGACGTTTTCTCTTCTCCACTGGCGAAATCTTCTCCGGACTCTGACTCTTCATCTTTCCCATGTTCTGCTTCAGTTCATTTTCCATTTGTTCTGTTTTACGGACATTTGGAAGTTCCGGGAAGCTGTCCAGTGAAGCGTCTGCTTCTTCATCAGACTCCTTGAGATTCAACTTCCTACCAATCAACTCCATGTAGATCGTGGCCGCTTCCTTGGTCTTCCTAGTTGGTCTCGTAGTCTTCGCGTCAATGTCACTGCCCTCAGTTGTAGCAGTTTGACTAAGGTTCTCCACTTCCTTCTTCGAAATTTTACTCTTGCTCTTCTTCTCACTCTCAGCCTCGCTGTCCAACTTCTTTTTCGGAGTTCTCTTCGCCGGAGGCTTTTTTGCTTTGACTAGATCCTTCTTAGCCACTTTCCCTTTCTTCGACGTTTTCTCCAGTGCATTTGCCAAAGGTTTTTCATCATCCGAAGAGAAATCCTCTTCCTCGTCATCACTCTTCGGCACTTTGATAGCCATTGAGGGATTTCTAATCACCATCTGACGTGTCACTCTTGAACTCTTCACTTCTTGTGCTGGCTTTTGCTCTGCCAATTTCTTCTCCACAATCTCCTTCTTCACAATAACTTTCACATCCATCAGCTTCATGCCACTAGATGAATTTGAGTCATCAGCAGCCTTTCCTGAACTTCTTGTGGAGATTTTCCTCTTAGCAGGACTCGCTTTGGCTTCCTGCTTCTTTTCAGGCTCCTTTTGCGGACTTTTTGTCAGGTTTGATCGCGTTCTGACAGACGAGATTACCGGTCCTGTTTTCTGAAGTGCTTTAGATCTCAATTTAGCCACTCTCTGATCGTGATATTTCTTCCTGAGCGCCTCCACAGTCTTCTGCTTTTTATCCGGCACTTGTTCCGCCCGTTTCCTCACCCCAAACGGAATGAAATCTTGCTTGGGAGGTGGTTTAGGAGGTGTCTCTCGAGTCTCTATTGCCCGTTTGCTACTTTTGGAAGATCCCGCCTCTGCCACGGGCGTACTAGAACTCCCCTGGGAACTTTGAGGAGTCGCAGCCGGTGCAGTCTTGGCCTTTGTGATAATATCCAGTTGCTCAGACAAAATAGGCGTCCGGGAATAGCAGAGGTACGTCACAAAGTCCGTTGCCCGTGGCTTCTTGGCCATTATGGGCTCCGGCGGAGTCTCTGGAGCTGAAGAGTCCTTTCCGGTAACACCTCCAGGCGAGGGAGTGGCCAGGGAAAATGTCGCCGAGGAATTTCCCTGGCCCTGCGCAAATTTCCTCTGTGCATGGACCTTAGTTCTGCAATTAAACAGAGAATTTATTGCAATTTATTTTGATTTTTCAGAAGAAAATTTCACAGATTTGACGTTTTGGTTTTATCAATATGGCGGGAGTCGCCTTTTGTTCAAGCCCATCTCCTCCATCAATATTCTCGAGGAGATACTCACCTTTTGGGTGGTTCCGAGGGTGATTTGGGAGTCGCCTGATCCTTCCGTTTGCGTTTGGCGTCCTTGGAGATGACCATTTTTCCGGAAAAAACCACGCCAAATCGCCACTCGCCGAGGATCTGGAAGCACCGAAGAAAAACCTCAGTTTATGTGGTAAAAACACATTCTCCCCACAGAATAACTATAAAACTCGATTATGTACTCACTCGGTTGTAGTTTTCGTGCCTTTTTACGCAGCACGCAACACTTTTTCCACAGTTTTTCTCACTTTTTCGCACACCTTTTGTTCACCATCAAGCCGAATTCACTCGCGAAATGTTCACCACTGGTAGAGAGTGGCGCTCGTGACGCCTAGCAGGCAAACTGACAGTGTTTCTTTGCGGAAAAGTGCATCATCACGGAGGAAAAACAGCGTTTTCTGGTGGAAAAATGAGCGATAGTGCGGGAAATTGGTGCTTGATCGAGAGCGATCCAGGAGTTTTTACAGAACTCATCAAGGAATTTGGTAAGAGCCTTCGGATTGTAGTGGATTTCGATGATTTCTTGCTTGTTTGAGGTTATGTGACGGTGACTGGGGCTTTACAGGAGTCACCGGTGTACAAGTGGAGGAGCTCTGGAGTCTGGATTCTGAACAATTCAAGAACCTACAGCCCATCCATGGCCTCATCTTCCTGTTCAAGTGGGTGCAGGACGACGAACCAGCGGGTGTGGTTGTGGAGGAGGGCGACAGTCGCCAGTGGAGTATCTTCTTCGCGAAGCAGGTTATTAACAACGCTTGCGCCACTCAGGCCATCCTCAGCATCCTCCTGAACTGTGTGCATCAGGACATCCAGCTGGGCGGCACCCTGACGGACTTTAAGGACTTCTGCTCGTCTTTTGATCCCTACAACAAAGGCCTGACGCTCAGCAATGCATCTCAGATTCGTTCCGTTCACAACTCCTTCGCCAGGCAGACTCTCTTTGAACTGGACTCCAAGACGCCAAACAAAGTGAGTTCGAGATGCTCTTCTTTTGGCTCGAGCGACTAGAATAATGAATTTTGTTTCTCAGGACGAGGATGTCTTCCACTTTGTTGGCTATGTGCCTATTGACGGCACCCTTTACGAGCTGGACGGCTTGAAAGACGGTCCAATTGACCTGGGTCCTGTGGGCGCCAATCAAGACTGGCTGGACGTGGTGAGACCCATAATTGAGAAGCGTATGCAGAAGTACAGCGAAGGCGAAATCCACTTCAACTTGATGGCCATCGTGTCTGATCGCCAGATGATCTACAATCGTGAAATAGAGCGACTGATGAATCTCACAGATGCTGAGATGGATGTAGAGGCCCGTCAGAGTGAAATCACGCGCCTTCGGATGCTCATTGAGGACGATATTGCGAAGAAGAATCGTTACCGCGTGGAGAACATCCGCAGGAAGCACAACTACCTGCCACTGATCGTGGAACTGCTCAAGATGCTGGCCCAGAAGGGTCAACTCATGCCGCTGTATGAGAAGGCAAAGCAACGAGCAGCCGAGAGGGAGGCCACAAAAACCACGTAAGTGTTTTCCCTGCTTTTCCCAGTTGATGAGAATAAACGTGAGGAGGTCTTTTCATAAGTAGGATCTTTTATCGGCGTGTTTTCCCCCCTGTATTGATGCCGGATTATTAATTTTCCTGAGGCTATTTGAGGGTGACAGTTTTTTCAACACGTTAGGCAAAATACGACGACTAGGATTTCCATACAAGAACTTTGAGTAATCTCTCAAAGAAAAACATCCCCAATCTTTTGATTAAAGTGCAAGACTTCGAGGGAGAGTCAATATCTGTGGAAAGCAGGTGAAAGAAAATAGTTTTTCTGCTCATTTTTCCTTTTTTTTTTGTTAATATCTCTAACTGATAGAAATGATCTTTTGTTATTGTGACATCAGCATTATTTAGTCCCTCCTACTCAGGAGCCCCGCCTATGGAAGAATCCTTATTTTAACCCTTCAATTTTTCAGTAGAAATATCAAAGAATTTTTGAAAAGGGGCTCTTTTCACGGCCAATTTCACTCTCTTTTGACTCAATTCCTCAATCTTGTGGTAATTACGAGCGAAAGCTCGACTGCGGGGTGCAAAATAAATTAACTTTTGAGCACAATCGTGAAAATTGGGATGATGAGTACTTTTGGCCGGTGGGCTGAAGAGGTGTGCTGCGATGTCTGAAATCCCGTGAGATTTGAGAAAGGATGAGGGGGTAAATTGAGGTCGGAAGTAATGTCGATGAGGCACGCGGATGGGTTTACATTTTGCGGTGTAATTTTGTGCAAATGGATTGCGTGTTTTCCGGCCGTGGCTTCACTTCAGCCTCAGCCAAATTGATTGATGTTGAAACAATGGTGAGCTTTTCGCGAGGCCTGTTCAAGATGGGGCGCACTTTTGCCGGCGCCCGAATGGTAATGAGAGGTCAGTGATTTTCTCGATGGCTGTGGAGGAGCGGACTGTGAGCTCACCAACTACGGCAGTGGAGATAATTTGTGGCGAAGAGTGAAATATGAGTTCTAGAGACTGATGCTGATGGTGGTGGTTAAATAGATTTTGGCGTATGTGCGGCGGTGCTCGCACAGTGTTTGTTTTCTCCAGAGGAAAACCACATTACATGAGCCCAGCAGCCACAGTTTATCTGTGGCCACGAATTGTACGCTCTATGGGCAAAACCTTAACACATGCGCTTCGTCAAGTCAGTTTGTATTAATATGGCAAAATACTTGCAATTCAAAGGTAAATTTAACTTTTGCTCCGCCGTGATTTTCAAGCATTGTGTGTAAAAGTGTGCGCTTTTTTGCCACCCTCGCAATTGACTCTCAATTTAATTTCACATCACAATGCTCACAATCCTTGCAACATTTTCCCTTCAGTTTGCTTCTTGTTCATGAGAGGAAAATTACATTTACGCTAATGGTTGGGGCGTTTGCACACAATTCAATGCTAAATTGTCTGCATTTGCTCCCCTTTTAAGCATAACACCGTGAAAGATTTAGCAATTCAAATTGATCAAAAGCTTTTCTTCAGCTTTGTTAACCATGCTTTGTTGAATCTTTGTAGAATTGTACTTATGGATTTCAAATCTGTTCTCTCAGCCAAGAATGACCTGATCTATGTAAGAATGTGTGTAAAATAAATTGTCTAGTAATACAGGAAACGTGGGAAATTTCAAATAGTTGAAGGAATCTTTTTATACCCACATAAATACAAGCTGGAATTCTCAACTATCCGTTAAAATTTACCCCATTTATGCATAAGCTTTTAGAAGTTTTTCATACTTCTCGATGTACAACATTTCCCTTTGGCGGAAATTAAAAAATCCATTTCATTTATGCATTTTCCGTGAAAATTGCCTCGTACGATGTTATACTAGAAGAGAGAATTTTCTACGAGAATCATTTTCAGAATATCAAATGAGGCTGAAAGTTATGTCAGGTTTTTGGCATTTGCAGGAAAATACGCAATAACAACCCTTTTCCTTGACACTGAATATTTCAATATTTTCCCGGTCTGCAATGTGTCTCTCAATACATTACTAATTTAAACCCAATTTTCATTTATTATTTACTGGAGATTTTGATTTATTACTTCAACATGAATTATGTCATAGGATCGTGTAACTAAAGTGGGCGAAACTCTGGGAAATGTAAACCGCTTTATCGTAATTTTCTCTTCATAATTCGAACTTCTAGTATATTTAGTATTTCCAACATTGACTATCGTGCGTAGCCACGAAAAAAGCTAATTGATGCCAAAACTTTAATTGAAAGAGTACTTGTGTGTGTTCAAAATTATTCTCAGTGTATCGAGTGATGATTGAAAGTCGCGTCTCGTTTTTGGCATTTGGAGCAATAACAACCGTTTTCCTCGTGAATCGCAATGAGTTTTCATGAGTAGATTCTTGTTGAGAGCCTGGGAAAATTGCGCATGAATGAGTTGAGCGGAATTTTTTGCACAGAAATTGTGAACGTCACTAGGGAATTGATTTGCTGCACAAATTCTCCTATCTTGTTCTTGAATATAACCCGAAACTTCAGTTGGGATTTGACTAAAGCCGAGTTCGCACACTGACAAGTTATTCGTGTACAGAATTGTGGTGTAGGGAAAAGAAGCTTTACAAATGCGGGAAAAAGTTTAAGTGTACGTTGCAATTTATTCTAGTATCTCCTTACATTGCATTGAAGTCATATTAGTTCGATTATATAGAGAGCATCGAACTGTTTTGAACATTCCAACCAGAATAACACAGAATCTGCGTTAAAGTCAATAGAGCAATCATGACGGAGAGGTACATAATAGGGAATTCAGTGGTTTGGATATTAAGTCTGTTGACATATTTATAATTTTTGTCCTTTTCTTATTAATCAAAGAAATTTCTGCTTCGTTGACCAAAACTTTGTGTTCGACTCAATGTATGTATAACACAATAAAGATAAGTGCGAACTCCATTCGATTCACGTCAATTGAGCAAGATGACACGCCCGTGGCGCTTGAGAGCATTTTCAGTGCAGAAGGAAGAGCTCTCAATTTGCAGTGACAATTTTTCCGGATGGTCAAATTGAAAACCAGCAGATGGACAGGCTCTCAAGTGACTCTTAATCCTTTTTCTCTGTATTCCAACATGGTAAAGCTTTTCACTCTTGTGCCTGTTTGTCAATTTCCCGTCAACGCTAAAAGTATGGTGCAGAGAGTGAAAAGTGTCCCATAAAAAAGGGCGATGTGGAGAATATTAATGTCGAATTTATCACCATACCGAGAATGCTAAACAATAGAGCAAAATATTTACTGTAAATACACTCAAGTGATAGAATTTTTATGGGCCGTGTTGTTGTCGCGTGAAAAATTGCACATCCACGGGCAAACATTTGGCGATGGGACGCGGAATTCTTTTAAGGGATATTAAAATTGAATATTAAAATGATATATATTAGAAATTTGGAGGGATCATTTTCTATAATGTCAGTTTTATGGTTGATTCTCATTTTGTAAAGTGATCTTGGCGAATTTATAGAATCCGCTTTAAACGCTTTAAACTTCAAAAGCATTTACATATATTTACTGAGAATGAGATTCAATTGATGGGGAATTACCAGCAGCAGAAGCTTTTAAACGCATGGCTATAGCATGAAATTCAGTACACTTCTTAGGGCCAATTTAGTTCAAATCTGTGAAGTTGGAGTGCAATCTTTGATTCCGTTTCCCATGGCGATGTCGTTGAATGAGGCACAAATTAAAAGCAAAACCTTCACAGTGGAGCTGAATTTCCTGAAAACTCTCTGGAAGTTCTCCGTTTGCTCATAAAGCTGGTCCTAATTTCATCAGCACAACTTATTGATGTGGCGAGTTTAATTCATCCCTACAACTCGGTCCAGTGCTATTCAATGCTCATAATTATTTACTGATATTTGTAATTCTGTTCCATTCAAAGGGTGTTTTCAATCAGTAAGCCACTCAATGAGCTGAGATATCCGTTATTGGATTTCATTTTAATTAATTTTTGTATATTTCAGAATGCTGCGTAAAGAGAATAATAATTGATAACGCGTCAAAATAATACACATAGAGCAAAATATAATGCAAAGAGCTCTCCAAGGAAAAAGTAATTAAGCTCCATGAATTTGGGGCAAAGTCGCGAGTCTACTCGAAGTCATCCTTTGTCATCATTGACGATTGAGTGAGAAAACCACCACGTCACTCTTTATTTATTTCATGATGATTTATTACACAATTCCCCATTATTGCGCTTTTATCTACGCTCTTCTAAACTTCCTCCTGAATACCCGAGATTATTGTCACACAATTCCCTCGGCTTTTTCGGCGAGGTGGTGGGCAATCTCGTGGTTTTATCTCCTTCTCAATCGACTTCTTTCGCGCGCCAAGACTGAGCGCCAAAAGTGCGAGGAGAATAAATGAAGGCATTGCAAGGACGAGTCGCTAAATGCTTAGAAGTACACCAAATATATTCGATATTCCATATTTCACAGGGTACATCATTCTACGAGATCCTTCTACCTTTCGCAGAGATTGATGACATATTTTGTCTCACAATCGATCAATTCAACAGTGTAAGTTCTCATAAAACAGCAGAAACGACAAGAAAAGTAACTCCTCATCTTATTGACTTTAAATATTTACCTTTCACGAAGACTCATCTCAAGAAATCGCCTGCGTGTCTTCTTTATGAGTTCATACAATTTATTACACCTCTTTTCTTAGTTATCGAATTGACAATGTTTCAGAGTTAAGATATTAGTTCTACATTCTATTTGAACTTCGCTTCTCCAATAAATAAGGCTGTGTTAAATACGATTAGGAGTAGAATGTGAGGACGCTGGACTGATTTCCGCGAACAAAGAGGAAAGGCGGCATCTTGTAGCTCATGCTCTCCAGCCAGGCCATGTAAAGTGGCGCTGAGACTATGCTCTTCCTCGGCATGGGCAGAGTCATGACCACCAGATCGGACTTCATTGAGTGCTCGTGAAGATATTCCCTCAGACGAAGGTAGCGATTGGTCTTATCCTTCACGGCGAGGAGTTCACTTTCTGTAATCAGGGCTGAAAAGATAGGATACAGAGTAAATTTTTGGCCATAAAATCCGGAATTTTGACTTACTGTCTCCATCAACGCCATCCTTAGTTTGGGCTTTACGGTAGTCGTCCAAGAGGTCATTGAAGAATTTGGTGGTATCCTCTTGCGGCTTCTTTGTAATGTCCGGCAGTAGACGAAGATCTGAGTAATCAATCCTGAACTTGGCCAGAAGACTTGCCATAGATCTCTGCTCAAACTCCAGTTCCGCCTTCTTGTTGGCCAGTGCGAAGACTCTCAATTTGCAGGAGTTCCAATTGCGCCTGGTGCTCATGATGTAGGGCAAGAGGAGGGTCAATCCGCCATCATCATAGAGCCACCATACGTCAATGACCGCGTCCTTTCGCTTCGCCGTGAATATTGTTAAGTCATCAAGAATCTCCCTGGGCAGCTCACTCCCTCCGGGTCCTTTGAACATCGTTGCCGGATCGTCGGGTGTCCTCTTCTCACCCTTCTTCGTCAGAGAGATATTGTAGGACATATTGGTCTTCACGGTGGACGGATCAGGAAGAATGGAGACGGTGTTTGTGGCCAAAATGGGATTCCCCATCAGAGATAAATCACTCGTGCTGCTGGCTACAAAGGCCCCAAGGTTTGGGGGAATGTCTTTAGAAACATACGACAAAAGACCTCTTCTCCATATTGATAGTTAAGGAGTGAAAGGGGTGAACATTTTGCATGTAATTTGCAGAGTAATTGTTTTGTACTTACCCTGATTTTTAGTGTTTTTCTTTAATTCATTCTCATTGTGGGCAATCTTTCTAGATTCCTCAACTACATTGAAAAAGAGAGAGTAGCAGAGATAGAGGCATAAATTCATTCACAAGCAGTGCACTTAGAATTGTGTATCTCAATTGACACGATAGTTTAAGATGCTGCAAAACAAACGCGTAATTTATAATACCTTGAGAATCATTTCTGCTCAATGAGTCGCAACTTCCGTGCTCGCTTTTCTTGGCCGTGATGAGAAGGTCAGTTGCGCTGTCGCTACCTTGCATACCCTTTGGCACGTTTACGATGCTCCTTGTCAACTCATCGCCCAACACTTTGGAATAGTCCAGGCCGTTGTTCACTCTCAGGATGCAAACGGCGAAGTACATATCAAAGGCCTTGTGAACCACATTAAAGTACTGCTTCAGAGCACTGGGATCTGCGGTTTTCCAATCGTTCTTGTACCCCATCATCACAATATTAGGCTTTAGCTTCCCAATCCCGGCTGCCTGCATCAGAGCCTTGCATCCTGACTCAAAGTCATCATCGTCCACATAAGCATAGAAGGCCTTCATCTTGTGATCATCAAACCACTCCTTTGTCTTCTGTTGCATGTATAGTCTGTGTTTCTGATTACTAGCGCTCTGAATAACATGCCCACAAACAAGAAGTGATACGTTCTTCGTGATCAAATAGGCAAAGTCAACTAAAATAGATCGAATGCTAGGTAGACCTGACAGAACTAGAATCTGAGGACGATAGTTCTTAACATGCTCTTCTACGTTGTTGAGTTGCTGAACAGACATTAGGGCGTTCTTGTAGGTTTGGGCTTGAGTTGAAGAGCCCCAATTGACATCGGGCTTGCGGTAATGAACTATCAAATACAAAGCAATGACGCATGCAAAAGTAAGGAGTGCTGTTGCCCAAGATATCAGGAACATGACGGAAACACAGAGAACTGTGCCAATTAAACTAAGCCACATGTTGTAGTACTGCAAAAAAAGAAGATTCAGGTTTTGGGAATGCTAATATGGTTCTGGAGTAGTCCACAGACCTTGAAAGTGGGTCTCCAACCGATGGATTTCGCGAAGCTTGCATGGAATGTACTGAAGTTGATAAGAGTGTAGGCCGCTAGGAAGAAGTTGGATATGAGCGGTGCTATGAGGTTCAGTTCCCCAACAAGTATGAAAGCCACAGCCAGGAAGAAGGTGAGGATGTATCCTCTGACAGGCTCATCGTTCTTCCCGTATCCACGGGCGAACCACTTGATTTTGGGGAATAGCTCATCCTTGCACAGGGCCTGAAAGACTTTAGGAGCCGACACCAGACTGGCCAGAGCTGACGAGAGAGTTGCGGCGAAACATCCCGCGTAGATAAGTGGTCCGAATCCTGAAACAAGCTCAATGACTTGGAAGGAGTTGAGCAAACCATAGCGGCAGGGTTCGGTGCAGTTAACGAATTCTAGTGTTCCGTTAACCACATCGGTGACGTTTCCCGTGGCGTCCCTGACGACTGTGGCACCAGCACACAAGGCCATAACTACGTAGGAGGCTGTTGTGATCCCGATTGCAAGGAGGGTCCCTTTGGGAATGGCTTTCTGTGGATCCTTGAGATCACCGGAGATGTTCGCCCCGGCGAGAATGCCTGTTGCGGCAGGAAAGAAGATGGAGAAAACCGAAAAGAAGTTGTGTTCAACGCCATTCTCTGTTCGGTACTCAGGAGAGAGATTCTCCACGAAAACTGTGGCGTTATAACCGACAAAGCCCTTAGCCATCTCCAAGTCACTCTTTGGGCCGATTAAAGTGCCAATGAGAAAGTCGGCAATGGCGACAAGGAGTATGACAAGGAGGCCTACTTGGGCCTTGGCTTCCCACTCCATTCCGATCACGACGATGGCAAGCAAGGCTATGATCGTGATGCTGCCGATTATCCGGACATCGTGGACCCCATCGTCGAGGATGGCCATACCAAAGGACCTCAGCAAGTCTTGCATCGATTCGCAAAAGCCCACCACGTACATCGCACATGCTACTGCATTCGCCAGTGAGAAGATTAGCCCTATTGAGCCACCGAATTCCGGGCCCAGGGAACGCGAGATCATGTAGTACGTTCCGCCTGAAATTGAAAGGCGTTAAGAAATAAGAAATGGTTTAAAGGCTGAATGCATCGTGAGGGATCTCACCTCCTTTTATCACGCCATTTGTGCTGATGGCGGACATTGAAAGCGCAGTTATTGTAGTCACAACGGACGTGGTGAGAATAAGGATTATTCCCTGAGCCACTCCAGCCTGACCGATGACCCAGCTGAGACGCAGGAAGAGCATCACGCCCCAAATGTTGAGCAAGCATCGCATGAGAACGCCCTGCATCCAGCCGAACTTCATTCCAATCGCGCTGGTTGAAGAGTTGGGCCGATTTTGAAGGGTTCCATGAGTCTGAGAAGATGGAAAATAAGTCGGTCAGAAACTGTCGAGGCCGTCGAGACGGAATTGATGGAATTTTCCAGCAGATTAAGCACGAACCAGTTGAATTTGCATTTCTCCGGTCGTAAAAACTCCCTCGATTACTTTTATAATAAATTGATGCAGTGATTTCGAAGTCCATATCAAATCGGATTTCATGATCATACAATGTTTTCAAAGTCGGATACAGTGAAGAACGTAAATACTTACACTGTACTTATGTACAATACTACTGAACTCTACTTTAGTGGCTATGTTGGCCATCTTCAACAAGAAGTCTTTTGGGAAATACAATAGTCAAAATTTTTATAGAAATTGACTATAGTAGCAATGGTTTCTCAAAAGACATAAATTTGTATTTTACCTCGACTGCAATCTTATGTACTCAACTGTAAGGCAATATAAATCTGATTCTCCGAATGCAAATTTCGCGACAGCTTTTTATACTTGATCGCGGTGTAAAATAAATTACGCTTTTAATTATTTCTCTTTTTGCTGTCGGATTTTGGAAGAAAGTGTAGCCGAGAGCCCATAAATAATGCATAATACTCAGTTTTGCCACCTTGTCAAAAACATCTTTCTAAATTTGGCGACTCACGTGAGGTGAGAAATTGCATAATTGATCAATCATTTCGGTCTGGAGGCACCAGATTGGCGAGTCAATAGATGAAGGATGAGTCACACTTTTCGGACTAATTATATTGGCTGTGCATTTAATTAAGAAACTTGACTCACATATCATCACCTTATTAACTTTGATCTCTCCCATTTAATCAAATTGACCTTTTCGGCCAACAGATCGTGCGCAATTGATTAATTACTGAGGGAAATTGGCAGTGATGTGAAAAAGGCCTGCAAAGTCACATGAGGAGTGTAACTATTTGGAGACATTTTGGCCATGCTCTCGTACGTGAAGAAATGCAACACTTTCTCGCAATTCAATGCTCAGACATTGTCACGAATTGTGGGACGAAATGCTCCACTTTTAACGTTATGCTGGCTATATCGCAGACTAATCACCGAAATAATCGTGCAAAATTATACCTTGTTGGAAATTGTGGCATTGTGCAATTCATCCAGCGTTGGACGATTGGAATGTGTAATACTGAGGATGTTTCGGTAGTTGTCAAGCCTCGGCAGAGCTTCTCTGGTGAAATGCCTGAAGCTCTTATAGATCTTCGTGTCATAATCACTGCCGTCCAGCAGATCGTTCTGCTCCTCTTCCGAGTCATTGGTCTCTGAGTCCACCTAAAGGGATTTAACCATATTAATTCTGACAGAAAATCCCACAATCAATCATTTCAATTCACCTGGAATCTCGTCATTTGCAAATCTTTGAATCTCGACGGTTTGTCTATATCTCGAAAGCTCGTCTTTATTGATGAGAGTCTGAATGGTGAAAGATGAGAAAGATTGAAGAGGAGAAATTAATGAACAGTTAGTGGTAATCATAAATGATCAGAGTTGAGGAGATGGGCTGATATTTAAGATAGACAAGATGAATGCAATTTTTGTGAATATTGAAAGAAAAAAGTGTTGGTTTAGATGATTCTCTTGAGTTTTTCCGCTCGAAGTACATATTTAAGCTGGAAATCTAGAATATTATGACTAAATGAGATAGTAAAAAGTCTTTATCACGAATTTCATCTCACATACCATTAAAGAATTCTGTGTATTAAAGAGTTTTCTGAAGGCAATCAAATGATAAATACATTCTAATGTTTAAGACTTATCTTCAAACATTTGAAAACAAAAATTTGGACTTTTGAATCTCCAATCTGATTCATAGCCAACTCTGTCAATGAATAAATCTGCAACTGCTACATTGAGATGTTTTTTTCATCACCCATTTCGACACATCTTTTTATTTAATATTTGACTTATTGACTGGCGTAGAACAAAAAAGACTCATCATCTTTACTCTCTATTCTTGTACAATTTAGGCCACGTGTTTCTACATGTAGTATTGACTTTTTGCTCCAGCCAAACAGTTATTTGAATTGTACTTTTCCATCGTCGCGATCAGGCAATCAGCACACGTCTTTGCTATTTTTACCACTCTTGTCAGAGTTAATATTTGGCTTAATTCTACATATAGCACGAGAACAAAGGTAGAATACGATCAATTGTCGCAACATCTGTGCAAATTATTTGCCACCGTCAATTTCTCTGAAATCTCTTTGACTGTGGAAGATTTTACCTGGATTGACGTCTGGCGATCATTGCAGCCGTTTCTTCGGGAAACGTGTCATCCTCATCGTCGTTGTCTTGCCGTTGTGGCGTCGATCGACGGTAGTTTTCACCGTGACTCACTCTCTTCACTTGAAAGCGATTCATCGATTTATCCACAGAACCCATTTCAATTAGCGAATCCGCCATCGTCGCGTCAAATAAATTATCCTTCCTTCCAATTTCACCGTGAGAATCTCTCCTAAGTATCCTGCAAATTGTATGGACTTAATTGGAATGTCTGGAATGGGGATTTTCATCATCACAGAATTAATTCTCGCGGAAATGCACTTAACACGGATTTGCATGACAACTCGCTATCGTCTGATGGGATTTGTATGTATATACTTCCAAAAACTAAGCTGATAAAGTGATGTTTGCCCACAATAACCCGGTCATTGAGATTGAATAAAGTCATGCTCGCAATTCGTAATAATAATTTAATCTTGTAAAAAGCACGCGAGACGTAAAATCACTTCTTTATACAGTAAATAATATCGCGCGTCTTGTGATTGGACTTTTCCAATGAAACTACGCGAATTCTTATCAGCTTTCACGTTGACTCTTGCAATAAAAGTGTGCATCGTGAAAAATGCAATTTGTATGCTTTTTCTGTTGACTTTCTGACACATAAAACTCACAAATATTCACTTTTTACGACCCTCCTGCGCGGCACTGCGCGTATCAGCAGAAAATGTTGCAAAGAAAGCCACTTGTCGGAGGGAAAATACAATGGCACGAAATATACGCGGATAAATCTGGACGCTATCAGTGATGCTGAGAGACTGAAGATGCGCGACTCAGACGCAGTTGAAGAGCATATGCAAATCAATTGTCTCAATATCACTTAAAATTCACTCAGCTATTGTGGCTTTTCTCACACTGGAATTGTTTCTGCAATAAATAACCCTATAATAGACCACTATTAGTCGAGCCTTGTGGGGTGTTTTACGGGGAAAATTTCGCAGCGCACTTCAAAGACTGGAGCCACACTATTTCAGTGTGAACACATTGCTGTTTATCATCGCAAAAAATATAACGTATTACATTTAACAGCGCACTTTCTGTGTAAGATCATGGAATGGGGAGTGAAAGGAGACTGAATTTAAACCACTCTCTTTACCTCGTGTCACGCCTGAGATCACTTCACGACTGTCCAGAGTTCGCGAGCAACTCCATGGATCGCGAGTTGATACACTGAGCGAAAAAGTTCTTCCTCTCCGTCTCTTATAAGTCTCTTTCCCATGAAAGACTATGCACTGCTTCTGTATATGCCGCACACTAACACGCCGCAGCATGGCGATTATGTAAATTTACATATTAACGGGAGCACATATAGGCATTTATAGGAATTTGATAACATTTTTGTACTACACTCCGGCATCTGCACTGTGTGAACGCTATAAATATGTATGCTTATTGATATTTTTCAAGACACACGACACGATGGTCGGCGACGCCTCGAGAAACAGTTGGCGTAAGCATGGCGAGAAATGCGAGAAAAAAGGCGTGATAAGCCCTATTCGGCGATCAGGCTTGAGAGTGTTCAGATTCTTACGCTGTGAATAACTAGAAATCATACTTATCCTGCTCGTGTAATCATATTCTAATCTTATACATTGTCGATTTATTTCTCTTTTACACGGAAGCGTCGAGTCGTCATTTTTTAGAAATAATCACCACTGAAATATTTTTAGTGTCTCTAGAGAGGAAGACATGTGCAGCGATCAGTAAATAGACGCGTCGACTTGCGCAGATCTTTTGACCTCTGGCTTCAGCCATTTGGCAGATGGTGAGTCAGTGTGGAGTTCAATGGAACGCGCGTTTTCGTTTTGCTATGTATGCATATGTATGTTTGCTTTGTATGTACAGAGAGACTGATTATTTTGGGTAATGTTGCAAAAGAAGACCACTTATGACGAGGTATTTTCATGGGTTGGTGTCTTTGATATCAAAATTTAAAGGAAGAAAAAGCTTATGAAAATTCGCTTTATAAATGAAATATTTGTTTTAGACAAATTTAAAGAACTTGATCTAATTTTGGGAAAAACATGACTGATATATTCACTTAATTTTTCACATCGAGTAAGCCACAAAGAATTAAACGAAGCCTAATCGGAATTTGTTTACTTTTAATATTGAAAAAGTGGGTCTAATACTTACCAATAAACTTATATCAGCAGAAATTACAGCAAAAATTAAACAACAATATTAATAATTCAACACAGTCATGGCAGGATTGAAACTATTGTTTTGACTTCTTGAATTGAAACGCCACTTTCTCGGTGGATTACAATCACAGAACAGATATCTGAATTCAAACACTGGCCGCAATACACACCTGGATGCACCACGCCCATTTGTGTTCAAGTCTCGCATACCTATTGTATTCTACCTTCCTGTCTTTCGCAAACGTAAGAAGGAAAGGAATCATTCACCCTAACCCTTGGATGCCAAACGCAAAGAATAGAAAAAATTGAAAATATGCTAAAAACTAGAATACAGAAAATTTGAAGTTATTCATGGCATTTTTAGTATAAAAAAATCACCAAGAACAAGAATATAACGAGTCCCTAGCAAATCAGAACGCATAATTTCATGAATAATTCAAACAATAGGGAAGAATGGTGAAAAATCTGGGTGAATGACAAACTTTTCTGCATACCTTTTCGAACAAAGTTGTGGACACACAGATTGCAAGGAGCGATGAGACAGGAGGAGTCTTGAAGGTGGAACCATATCGAAGAGCATTGAGATAGAATTCATCAACTCACACAAATTGCTCCGGGGCAATTGAGGCATGAAGGAAATTGGAGAAAATTCAATTCATAAAGTCATGTGTGTGTCTCCTGAATTCCTCGAAAATTGAGGTACTTGTCGGGGCTTTTTTTCCTGCTCGTCTTCCTTGGCTTGGGTTGTGGATGGGGCGGAAAGGTCTGGGTAGGAAAATTTCATATTTCCGCAATTGGGGAAAATATTTGGACGGGCCAACACGATGTCCATTGATGGGGTGTTCGTCAAGGGACGGAAAATAAAGAATTTCAGGTCAACAATTTATTAAATTTCAACCACGAGGAAATTCCTGAGATGATGGCATCAAAATTAAAACTAAGATCTTTCTTCCCCCTTGTGGTGGTGTGGAAAGGAATTTTCCAACCCGAAATATGTGTACCTGCACAACTTGGGAAAATGAGCTCTGATTCACGACAGAGAAACTCTCAGAATTTTCAACGCAATTATCTTGAAGCACTCATTTTCAAATGTTTGTATGCGCAGATGTATCACGAGAGAATTGTTTTCTGGATTGATTAAAATTGTATTAGAATTAATTTGCGAAAAACGCGTTTTATGTGAATTTCCCGCTTTTTAATTGCAAAATGCTTTTAATGCAAGCTTGAATACAAATTGTGTTCTACATAATACATTTATCTAGCAGTCACAGATGTGATAAACATCTTATATGCTCTCTCTAGTTGTCCTAATTTATCAATACACCATAATTGCAACATTATCTCGCCTATTCACCATTGCAATGCTTGCAATTTCGTGTAATATTTGAAAAGACATTGTCTCTGGGTAAGCCTCAACAAGTGCAACTCTGTGGAATTTTGCCAGAATGCAAGGAGTGGGCATTGTTGCAATTCCATCACATGCCAGTTCTACTAAAATATTGATTCATTGTCCGATTCTAGCCCGTGTCCATCATTCCATCCTGCCGTGTTTCCGTGAATGGCAAATGTGTGACTGTCTCGCATCTGCGACTCAAAATGGTGTGCATATGAATGAGACACCGCAGCATTGGTATCTTGTTCACCCTCAACAATTCATCTGCCAACATGTCCCATTCTTGTGACCCCAATCATCCACCTTCTCCTGCATTATCTGCACCCCAGGGTGTGTTTTCCGAGGAAATATGGGGTGGAAAGTACAAAATTGCGCGCGCGATGGTGAGACAAAGGCATGGACAAATAGAGTGGCCTTTTGTCGCAGAGTCACTGCAACTGGCCGAGAGATATGAAATGTGGAGCAAAAGTGTAAATTGAAGATGACACAGAGTCTGGGAAGGAAGTGAGTAAGATATAGCTCGTGATATATTGACAGAGTGGAGGGAAAAGCTCGCTCGGGGTGACTTTGGAAAGAAGACACTTCCTCACTGCATTGACTTCCTGTGAGCTTTCACACTTCTCCCATATCAAACTTAAAAGCTCGAAAGGTGACACTCTTCCTCTCTGCTCGACAAGCCTTCCACTTCGAAGGGACTATAGCACACACGAGGAATCTCACATTCCCATTAAAAGTTGGAAATATATGAAGTGATAGAATTCGCTTTGGTTTTGAAAGGATTCTTTTAAAGAGAGAGAGAAAAGAAATATTTTGATGCTTGAGGGTTGGCAGTTTTAAGTCTTCTAACTCATTGAAGTTTTCTGAAAGTTTACAAACTTCCGGCGCATATTTGAGGTAGTGCTTCAGAAAAGCATGACTTAGGTGTGACAGGGCAAAATATTTTATTTCCCTTCTTCCTTGTCTCTTAATTTCTCGAATTTCTCCATTGTTTCGGTTCCTTCAGTCCTTAAATCTTCATTACTTAATCTGAACATTTGCCCATTTGCTGGCACCACAATTCATAGGTAAAAGCTCTCCTACATGTTACATATTTGCAGCATCGCTTTTCCGCCCTTCTTTTCTCATAAATTTCCCTCGCACACCCCAATTGAGTCGACATACATGTATTTTGTGTGAGAATTTATGTCATCGACAGAGTTTTTCCGCAACAAAATCAACCCCAACACCTAAATTTAGGGGAGCTCAACGACTTTATGTGCCTCAATTAGCTGTGAATGCAGAATGAAAGTTTTAAAAAATGTTTCCCCATGAATTTAGTGTTCTAATTTTGAAAGTTTTCACATTTCTACACGAGCGTGGATGTGCTTATTACTCCATTTTGGTAAATCATCTCCCTTCCGGTTTGTTTGCGAGAGGCAGGAAAAGGGCTTTTGTTGTATGGTGTGGGTTTGGGAAATCAATAATTCGCACTCCTGCGGGAGTTTAATTGACAGTATGACAAAAGAAATGAGGAGGGCAGGAAATTGACTGTGGCTTTGAAATGCAAAAAATGCGGAAGGACAGAAATTAGGAAGTTAAATATTTGGACTGAGAAGCAACATTATTTATTTGTGGTAATTCCCCACGTCACCACCCCCAACTCTTGATTGCGCTGATGGAATGGGAGATTCAATTTCTCACAAATTCAATCATTCATCCTCATTGACTCAACAATACAATCCTCCAAGTTCGATGAGAATGTGGGCTGTTATGAAAAGGGAGAAGAACTCTTTGCATCAACTTATTGGGAATTGAGAAACCCCTTGAGTCAGACCACCCCAATCGAAAGAGTCTTATCATAATAATATATTCCTTCTTTTTGACAAATAGATTTTGCCCTCGATTCCCCTCTTCAGTGTGGCTCTGCCGCGCACCGTCTTATTGAATAATTTAATTTGAATTCAGTACTCAAATTCATGACGCAAAACGTGAAATCTACACTCGAAAAAACCAGCAAGAAGAACTTCTTTACATTTCAGAAAGTTTTGGCAATATACTAATGTAGCATTTTATATGAATAGTTAAATTTGCATTTCAATTTTTCTGAACACTTTTAGAGCACATTGTTTAACTGAAGTGAGTGTTTGCAAAACTTTCATAACCATTTTTGCCAAAACACACACTTTGGCAAAGTATCATCTTATGGCACAGAAGTTTTATTTGCTCTTATGTTAGAATATTCACAGAGCTTTTTGTCTTCATTGTCTCTCGAGACTTCTTCAATTATTCCCCAAAGCAGTATAGGTCCAAGTCCTTAAAATTGGGAGGCAAAAATGTAATCAATTAATCTCTCTTTCTCTTTTATCAAGGC